GGGGGGGGGGGGTCAGGCCTGGTCAGGCCACAGGCGGCTGGGGGACGCTGGGCCTCGCTCTCTTGTCTCCAAGACACCGTGGTCCCAGCGCTTGCTCCTGCCCAGCCAGGCCCTGCTGGCACACGCAGGAGATGCACGCTCGGGACTCAGCTGCCAAGAGAAACCAGGAGAGACACGGGAAGGGCTGCTTTCCACCCGAGCGACTTCCAGTTGGGGTTTCATATCCAGGGTTGCACGCAGAGAGCGGCCGAGGATTACAGGGCTCCGGGGAGGGGTGAGAGGAGAGAAAGCTCTACCACTTAGAAGTGAATGTTTCCCTCCAAGAAACTCTACCCGCGATGGAAGTTTCCTGGATACTAAAAGGAAGCGGGAACGGCAGGATACTCACCACTGCGGCGGCTTTCACTCCCCTCCCACCACCTGCAGGCCACCGTTTCAGGGCCACATTCTCCAGCTCCTTCCCATACTGTTCCTCTCTTCAACTTCCCCAAACTCTCTAAGTACAGGATTACAGTCGGCCCTCTGTATCCTCGGGTTTTGCAACTGCACATTCAACCAACTGTGGTTCAAAAACAGCGTTTTTGATTCACAGTTAGAAATCCGTGGATACGGAGGGCCGACCTTATGCATGTTGTATAAGGGACTTGAGCATCCATGGATTTTGGTGTCCTGGGTGGCCTGGAACCAATCCCCCACAGACACTGAGGGGTGGCCATATATTTCTCTTCTCACAGATGAGGAAATGGGGGCACAGAGGTTAAATAACCTGCCTAAAGTCACACAGCTATTAAGATGTAGAGTTGAGACCTTAACCTCAACAGACCAAGCTCAGTGGTCTGTTCACTCTGGCAATTTTTCATTCCCACATTTTTTTAGGTTATAGCAGTCTAGATTTTTACGTCAATTATGGATGATTCTAGGTGAATCACCCCAGGATCCTTACTGACATAAGCTTGGTACCCTCCGAGACTGGAAGGCCTGGCACACCCTGTCCATGCCCTACACTGTCTTCGGCTCTGGCCCTGTCTGAGCCCTAATGCTCCCCATGAAGTGGCTCTTCCTCACCCCACCTGTGCATTTCCCTGACCGTTTTTAAAAAGTGCAAGCGACTCAAAGAATTATAAACTGCAAGCTACCGGCCTACCGGCCTCCATGCCAAAAGTCAAACATCTGGGAGGTCAGGAGTGGGAAGGACTGAAGAAAGTGCAGGAGGGCGCACCTGGAGGCGATTATAAACCCGTCCACAGAAACACTGCGCATGGGTGGGGCTGGATGGGGAATCCTGCTTCTGTTGGCAGAGGCACCGCTATAGGCGAACCACAGAGGACCGATGCAGAGCCAGCAGGGCTCGGGGCATGTGCCCTCTGATGACCACAGCAGCGCCTTGCTGGCCGGTTGGGGGGAGTGCCGAGGAGGGTGTGTGGAGGACACATTCCGGGAGGTGGTCTGCAGGGTGGGTGGGGGAAGCCATGGAGGAATGAGTGTGGTCTGGGGAGAAGGCGACAGGAAATGAGAGAGGTCGGCTGTGGCTAAGCGGCTATTCCAAAACAAGGCCAGCAGCTGAAAGGGGAGGAACACACCAGACAGTGGAGCGCTGGTGACAAATACTCTGGGGACTGAAGCCTAGATTTATAGTGCTCTTGCTACTCAAAGTATAAATGTCCCCACCATGGGGTTATCCACGTGACCTCATGGGACACACCGCTCTCCTGAGCCACATCCCGCTGCTGTGGCATTCCTGCGAGTTCTGGAGGCGCCTGGCTTTGCTTTGGAGGTCTTGGTCTGGAGCTGCTGAGTTGGTGAAATCTCACACGATCACAGCTTTGGGTGTGGGGAAGCTCTCATGGCCTCAGAAAGAATAAACTTTGCATGTCCAGGCACTGCAGATGCAGCTTTCCGACTGCTCCAGGCCTCCCATCTGAGAGCCGGTGCCCCTTTCTCAGGGTAGTGTGATCACGGGATGATCCCGCATGCATTTTGCAGGAGAGGAAAACAGAGTTGGAGAAAGTTGGAAGTGAGCAGTCCTAAGAAGTGTGGGGGGTTGCTTGAAGCCTATTGGCTTTAGTGTATTTAGTCAGCAAGAGTCAAACTTAGGACGTTGCTGAGAACTCCCTAGGGGACACCAGGTGGTGGGGCTTCCGAAGCAAATGCCGGTGAGGTTGACCCGAATTCCTTAGATGGGAACTCCCTGCTAACATCTGAATTCGATGCCTGACATTCCTTCAAAAGGGCAGAGGTCAGCTGCATGCAGATTCTGCTGCAACATCAAGGTCATGATGAGCAGTGAACACAAAGGCTGGATGGGGAACCCAGCGGGAAACCGCTTGGTGGGGCCATCAATAGCTAGGGACAAACAGGCTCTGGGGCATGAGTCCTTTCCAAGGCTCTGTCCATGATGTTGTATTTTTTTCTTAAAGAAAGCCCCCAAATTAATAAGCTCCTCTTGATCCTCGGGCACCAACGTGTACATGTGATTTTCCTTTGTTTGTAAGCATTTTGAGATTAGTTTGTATGTGAAATCAGGAATTTTTAGACCTAGAAACTCAACTGGGGCAAATGCTTTGCCTTAATAGTTTAATAGGCCAACAACTGAGTTAAGAACAAAGGGAATTCCGGAGGGACTGGATTCCCCATGATGTCTGAAGCTCTGATTTGCTGGAGAGGAAGGAAAATTTCACTTCTGGGCTCTGCCTGGGTCAGAGGTCAGATGTTTTAAACCACTGTCTGAAATATAACAGCGCCTGCTTTTGTGTATTTTGCTGACAAGCCATTAACAGCCTTGCAAAAGCCAGAGAACCTTCCACAGACATGAGGGTGGGTCCCTGCTCTCCTTCCCTCCTGCGGCAGACAGAACCTCCTCAATGGCCTAAAGCATGAGGTCATGGGACCAACGTCTGTTTCCAACTTGGGCCCTTCCTTCTCTCTGCAGATATTGACACGCTGTCCCTGGACTCTGGGCACTGTGGGAAAAGATCGGGAGCCATTCTGGGGAGTGAGGGGGGCATCCCTGATGGGAAGACACAGCTCCTCCTTAGAGCTGGCCAGAGGCCCATGCCAGCGGTCTGCCCCGGCCCAGGCCTTCCTCCTGCGTGGTGCTGTGCAGAAGCGGGTTCTGTCTCTCTCCCTCTTGGATTCCACTGGAAGACTTGACCCACAGTCAACCTACTTCTAGTCCTGGCACCGAGTCAGCTCCTTTTATTTCCACTCGGAGTCCTGCCAGCTCTGTTCTTAGCCGTGGATGCAAACTGCAGAGGCATTTCCTGTTCCAGGTGGTTTCGAGCAGAGCGCCAGGCAGCGTGGGCTGGAGGTAGGTGGGGTGGAATTCTTCAGGAACTGCTCCCAGCAATTGTGAGAGGCGCTCAAAGTTACACGGGCTCGACTTCCAAAGCACCCAGGCCCGGGTGGAAACAGGACTTGTTTGAACTAACTTTAGAAACGTAAGGAGCGTGGACCACCTCTGGGTCTGCCCCAGTGCGTGCAGCAGGCTCTGGAATACTGGGATTGGGATTGTCGGAGAAGATAAGGGGACCAAGGCAGGCTCCAACCTCTCGTGGAGGTCCCGTGCTTCTGGGGAGCTGAGGAGTCGTCCTGAGACATTGAACCGATCTCCTCCGGTTGGAGGTTTGCTTCTCGAAAGTCCACACAAGGAAGTGGTAGCCATGGGCAGGTTTAACATGTGTTCTCCAGCGAAAAATTGTCCCCACCCATCCATCTCTGGCTTTGAATAAATACATCAGAGCAATTCTGGAAGGTTCTATGAATTGCAGCAGACCCACATGAAACGAGGAGCTTGGACGAGCTGCTGGGCCCCTGGAGTCACAGTTTCCCTCTTGGAGAAATAAGCAGAGCAATACTCTGCAGTACATTGTGGGGGACTAAGGTCAGCTCTGCAAAGCAGAGCAGGGCTCCATGACTGGGAGCCACTATCGTCAACGTTTGTGTGTGTTCGTCCCTTGGGCTTCTGCAGCAGAGAGGGGCCATCATGAGAGACAGCTCCCCTGGGCAGCATCCACTATTGTCACTTGCTGGCCTAAAATGGGTTCCAGTTGAAAAGTCCGTTTCATGTGGGAATTAGAAGTTGAGCAACCGGAAGGACCCTGACATCCTTCTGTCCTTTTGGCACTGCCACAGGAAAGTAGAGATAATGTTCCTACTTTTGCTAGCTACCTGGGGCTGGGATCAGGTGAGGAATGGTGCTGGGAAGTCTCCGAAGCCAGCCTGGAAGCCAAGGGACTCATTTGCAGGGGCGCCAGCTGGTGCTTTAAGAGCCAATGAGCCGACCTTGGAACTGAGCCAGACGCTCCTGGGAGACCGGGATTGTCAATATTTTGAACAAGATAAGGGTCAGGGGGTGCTTTCAGCCTCGCTTGGAGGCCCACTGTCCCCCGGAACAGAAACAGCATTTACAGGTAGGAGAGGACCAATGTAGCCGTTGGAAAAGGTAACTTTTGGGGGGTAATGCTAGAAAACGGGGCTTCCAAAGCAAATGCTGGTGAAGTTGACCCAGTTCCGTAGGTGGGCAGAAAAGACTGGGGTGGGCTCTTTGAGAATTTAGTACACAGGCCATGACTCATTTCAGAAAGCATTCGTAGGCACTGTTCTATTTGCAGAGTGACAGCTGGGGCAGCTGCAAGAATGCAGACGACAATGTCCACAGCAGGGAGGTGGGAAAAGCCATGGGGCTGATGGAGACGAACTTGGATACGACGGCCTCAAGGAGGCAGGGTGGCCGGCAGCTGAGGAGGCTGCAGAGGAGGTGGCTGGGCTGCCTGGGACACAGTGGGGACGCCCAGGGGGCTGTTTACTGGTGAGGCCTGGTGTGGTCACCACTCTTGCCTGCCCCCAAGGCAGGTGTGTGAGGATCATCTTAGTGCCGCAAGTGGTCCCTAACTTAAATAACAGCATGATGGTCGTCATTGTAACTTGCCTAGCAGGGGTTTGCTTTCCGTCTGCCTCATTAGACTGTGGGTTTCTCAAGTAGAGACCATTCCTAAGAAAGACTTAGATCGTTCTGCACAGTCTACAAAGGCAGGTATGTGGACAAAGACCTAATTTTTTAAAATCAGTGATAAAAGTTGAAGTGTTTCATGAGTAACTCCATTTTAGCCAAAATAATTTAATTCCTAGGTTTGAAGCCAGAGAGAGATCAGGTCTTACCTATTCTTTAAAATAATCTCAAACAGCACCTTGCAACATAGCCTGAGAGATGATACTATGGGGAAGCGCGGGAGGTGGTTACCTGGGTGGGCTCCCAGCCACCACCAGTTTGAAAGCTAACCCAAGACCAGGAACATGGCAGTGAGGCTGCGGGAGGACACGGGTCATAGCACGTCCCGTCCCAGCGAGTAGGAGCAGAGGCCGCCCCTGGGCACATGTGGCAGCATGAAGAACACACGCGTCAACTCAGCACTCAAACTACCCTGGCGCCCAAGTGCCCGGGTGGCCTTTTCAGGGGCCAAGGGGGAAGCTGGGAGCTGAGCTGAGGATTCACTCAGAGGGTTCTCTGCAGCTAAGAAGGGGTTCAGATGAACAATTCCTCTTAGGCTTTCAGCACGGTTCTGTTGAAGGCAACGAAGGCCAGTTTGCAACAGGACCCAGCTCACCCACAGAAAGACTTCAGTGCCTGAAGTTGCTAGAATTTGGGGGACATGGGACTTAGTGAAAATCAGCGTTCTTTGGGCGTCCATTAGACTTAGGGCTGTTATTATTTTTCCAGCTAGGGCGTCATCCCAAGAGTCACTGACAGCCTACAGGTGCTTCCCATGCCGACCAGGCGAAGGCTGCTCTGAGCTCTCCTGGTGCCACTTTGGGGGAACGTACGCTACTCCAAGTCCTCGCAGCTTCCTTCCTGTCCAAAGCTGGTGTGGTTGCTACTGGTCCCCCTCTCCCTCCAGCCTCCCCCACCTTCAGGGTGGCCGTACTTTAGCCAAGTGTGACAGCACTCTTTGGTCCACTCTGATTCCTTATATCACCACACCTACGACAGGAGCATAAAACCAATGGCCCGGGAGAGCGCTGCTGAACCCAACGGCCAGCCTGACCGCCCACCTCACTTCTCAGAGCATGAACTGTGAGCCAGAGCATTTCTTGCGTTACCCAGAAAACTGTGGGCGGGCTTGTCCTCCACCACGCGGATCCTCCGAGCTCCGGCGGGAATGATGGCAGCTTCAATATAACCTGTAGCAGCAAATAGCAGAGGTGAGCGACACCTGCCTTGTCTCCCACTGCAGTCCCCTCCCCCCCCCCCCCAGCGATTTCAGAGCCGGTGGGCGGGTACAGCTATGACAAGAGTCAGCTCACAGACCACCATCTGCACGCGTTATGGACTGAACTGTATCCCCCCCCCCCAACAAATTCACTTGTTGAAGTCCTATTTGGAAACAGGGTCACCGAAGATGTAATTAGTTAAGATGAGGTCATGCTGTTGTAGGGTGGGCTCTGCATCAAATATGACAGGTGTCCTTATAAAAAGGGGAAATTTGGACACAGACAGCACACGGGGGAGGACAATAAGGAAACACGAAGCAGAGATCGGCTGACGCATCTCCAAGCCAAGGAACACCAGAGAAGGCCCGCAAAGCACCCGAAGCTAGGACCGAGCCCTGGGACAGATGCGTCCTCACAGCCTGAGGAAGGAACCACCCCTGCTGAGACCTGGGTCTCAGTCTTCCAGCCTCCAGAACTGAGAGGCAGTAAGTGTTGGCCGTTGACACCATCCAGGTGACTGCACTTGGGGACCGCAGCCCTAGCACACTAAGACGGCCAGGAGCTCTGCAGGAACAGCACCCCCGGGAGCGTGGGCGCGGGGTGATGCCTCTGGACATACTCATCTATCTACTGGAGGTTCCTCTGCTCTTCCCTGTAGTGTGAACTCTCCCCGAATCCCTGTGGGATGGCAGCAGGAGCTCAGGATGTGCCCTCTGACCAAACAACTGCCTACACACTGAGAACCATTTCCTGCCTCCACGGTCCCCTGGGCATTTCTGCAACTATCACCGCGTATACTTTGGCATCGCCAGGCTGTAGAATCTGAGCAAAGAGACGTATCCGCCGAGGTCCAGATTTGTTCATTTTCAACAATCCCCATCCAGGTACATTTGCAACCAATGCATGGCCACCGCTCCTGTTTTGATGCTTAACTTTGGCTCAAGGAGCAGCACTCAAAGGCCGCTGACTCTCTCTCCTTTCTCATGTAGCCTCAGTGGTGCAAAGGTTGACAAGCAATGAAATGCTCAGGGCAGACGCCAATACTCAAGTTTGGCTCGTCCCCAGTTGACCTTGGAAAAAATGGGGCAGGGGAGTCATGGTCATGCATGGGCTCTGCTGACCTTTCTAAGGTGAGCTTCTCCAATCATGACGCGGAGGGAACCAATGAAAGTGTAAACCCTGACGTGAAAGACCTGTCAACAAACCAAGGACACCATCTCTAACTCACCTCCCTCTTTCCAGCGGCCCCGATTCTGACCCAGAGCTCAAAGGCCACCCCAAGGTTGGTGCAAAGAGCAACCAGGAAGGAAAACAGTCCCATCACCAAGTCCAAAAGCACCTTATTGTCCCTCAGACCAGATGTCCGCAGTGCAGACCCCAGACACCATCATGTTGACTGGGAAGAATTAGTCTTAAGAATTCATGAGATAGAGTCATTTCTTAGGTAAGGCAGTAAGACTTTATCTTTGGAATAATTTTCCATTCTAGTCTCTGCCATTAAGTAGAAGACATCTAGTTAGAGGGACACAATTTGGTTTCATGAGGAAGCCATGGATAAATGCAACGCCTTTGCCATTTTTGCTGTGAGAACAAGTAGAACGAACGTCAAAGTGACGTTGACCTTAACCTTGTCTCAACTCTTCTGAATATGGGTATTGCCAAGCTATGAGTGCATTTCCCTGAGAAGGGATTTTTGCTTGAATTTCCCAAGTAGACTTGCTTTTAGATGATTTGGGGGCCACATTTTCCCCCTGTGCTGTCAGCAGGCTTCACTTTTTTTGGGAAAAAAACCTTTTTGCTTGTAAGGCACCATGAGAACACACAGGTCAAACCCTGGCTATGTGAACTGAGGCTGGACTTTTCCTCAGGTTGTATCAAACATATATAAAGATAAATCAAAGTTATTTTTTGTAATTAACTCAGAAAATAATTATGTATGAGTTTATATTTTTTCCTACTTACAAAAGTTGTTTGTGAGACTACTACTATCTTCATTTTCCCTAAAGGTTGTCTGGGTCTAATTGAAAAGAACCAATTTCTTGGGAAGCCCATGAGGCCAGACTAATACTCTCATCCACCCCTCAGAACGTGAGGTCAGTGCGGACGGGCCAAAGCACAGCCATGACCTTGAACTTCAGCGGGACAGCCAGGTGGGTGTCACCAAGTGCCCGCTGCCCTCTGGAAAACCCAACCCTGTGATCTGGATACTTTCCCACGCAGGGAAGGGCCACCTGTGGCTACATTTTCTGGACGTCCTAGTATTTTCTGCCAAAGTGCCAGGTGTGGCCGAGGAAAACAAAGATGCACCCCTGGCCCACGGACATGTTTCTGTCCGGCTTCCAACCCCGCGACTCTTTATCTTTTATAGCTTTAAGGTTGGTTTTAGTCTACAGCTTTTCTTTTGGGCAATTGGTCTTCAACATTAGTTAGTTATATAGAAGCAATGAATGGCCTTTGTGTCTATCCATGGCTCATTTCCATTGATCTGCCCAGGAAACGTTCAGACACATGAGCAAGGCAAGAACCCTTCACCGGGCATTCCACCGCCAGGACTGCACGCCACATCCACACATCTTACATGAGAAACACTTGGGAACAGCCTTTGCCATCACACATGTAGACACCTTCGTACAAAGGTTATTCTTGACTGAGAAAAAGAAATACATTGCAGTCGGTTTCCAGGCATATTTCAGGAACTGGTTGAAATCGTAATTCTTAATCACAGAGAAGTAAAGCGTCCTACGTCACTGTCGCATGCTGGTCAATTTCCTCAAGGAACCTGCATGCCTGGTACGTGGCGGGGTTCTCAAGGTAACTAGAATAAATATGGGCCATGCGGAGCTATCCACATTCCAGCAGGACAGATCATGTCACCCTCCCTGTTAAGAACAGACTGTAAGAAGATTCTCTTTAAGAACAAAATGCAAAGGGTGCAGAACTCGTGGGTCACCATGGTTGGTTCCCTGTGGATGCCAGTCCCCTTTCTGGTGCTCAGGACAGCATGGAATCAAGACAATAATGTCAAAATGACAACCTAATGGAGTGAAAGCATCATACCAGGAACTTTCAAATTACTCCATTCACAACACTTAGCTGTTTCAACTCAACCGAAGGCTGAGCGCACCCATGAGAAAAGCAGTGTGAGAGCCAACTCGAGTGGCTTCCTTCCATAGATGAGTTGCTGAGGACCTTGACCTGTTCAACGCTGGGCGGCAACAGGCCAGGGGGTAATAAATAACCCGTGCTCAGGATGCCATATGCCCCGTCGCTGCACTGGGGCCTCTCAAGCACACGAGAGGGTGACATCCTGGAGGGTGTGGACGCCGTTCCTGTGTGGGTCTGCTCGGAATTCCCGGCTTAGGTGTTTAAGGTAAAAGGGCCCAGGAGAGTTCAGACAAGGGTCAGGATTTCATATAATTGGGCAAAAAGCCTGCGTTTGATTGCTTTTTATCTCTCTGGTATGGTATTTCTCTTTGATTTCCACCCTTAAGCGTGATAAGACATTCCTCCTTTGGAGCTGGGCAGAGATGAAAGTTACCTTCCTATCTGAGCTGACAGAACTAGCCAGTCCATCCAGCCACACTTGGAGCCACCTACATGTGACATGACCCAGGGGGCTTTATTCCATTTCTAAGTTCGGTTTTTCCTTCAGCCCGAAATGTCCTGCCCCAACCCCACCGACAGCGAATCTCGCTACTTGTTCCTTAGGGCTCGGGGGCCACCCTCGTCTGCCTGGGTCACTGTTGGTAAAACACCTTTCTCTGACTTTCAGAAATCATGACACTGAGGTTCCAGGTCACCCTATTATCAGCTAGCCCTCAAATAAGAAGTGCGGGGAGGGCACATGATCATTGGTTTGGGGGCAAAGGGTATAAAATACACATAAGATACTGGTTCGAGCTGTCTCGCACTCACCTGTCCCCCGGGAGTGGCTGAAGTCGCCCTTGACCACACGGCAGGTCTTGCCGTCCCCGCTGCACACCCCGCACCGGTCCTCCTTGGCCGCAGACCCGATGATGCCGTCACAGCCGATTTTCTACATAACCAGAGGGCAGGGTTATCCTGGGTTTAAGACTCAGAGGGGTTTGTAACGAGGCTGCCCTCTCCGTTGGGCCCAGCAGGCACGGTGCCGGGCCCACAATGCTTTCAGAGGCCCGAGAAAATATTTTAGTTTATTGTAAACACAGAAGAGGAAAAAAAATGAATGGAATCCAGCTTCTATTCTGTTTGTCCTTATACCCACAGAGCCATCAAATACATCCTTCAGTATTTGTTATAGAGAAGGGGGCCCAGGAAGGGAAAAGTGGCCCCAAAAGTCACACTGAGGCCTGACGCCCCCCCACCTTCTAGAGATACCTGAGCCAGAGGTCACGGGTAGGGAATGGCCGCTCCCACACACCACCCGGTGTGGCCACAATTCCACACGACTCCATAGTACTTGTTAAATAAATACCTAAAAGCCCCCAGCTCAATGGAGCAGTTTGGTTCTCTTGTGTTTGAACTGGGACTTTCTCCTACAGGTTTCGATGGCCTTTGTTTTTGTGGTATTTTTCTAAAATTTCTGGCTGGGAAGGAAAGCACTTGCTTTCTTCAACGTAAAAGCTATGTTCCAACGACTCCTTCGTTCTCTCTCTTCCACTGGAGGGACGCCGCTGGCTTATTTTAACTTGGACCGAAGGCTTCCAGGCCGGCGGCACAGCCCTCCTCCGGGCAGTCCCTGGGCTCCGGGTCAGCTCCACCAATTCCCGCAGCCCGCGCCTTCCCCTTTCTCAACTTCGCCCTTGTTTGGTTAAACTACACGTAATTTCTCCAGAATGGATGCCTGGAAAATAACATTTCTGAGTTCTTCCGTATCTCGAAATTATTTTGCTCGCATGCTTGGTTGATGATTTGGCTGCAGAATTATATAATTCTGCAGAATTCTATAATTATCTCAATTTTCTGCCAGGGTGAGTTTTTCTGTGTGTTTTTCTTGGTCTTTCTCATGCCGGCTGCTGGTTTTCTTCAAATGGCAGATCATCTCTGGTTGACCACTCCTATTTGAGAAGGAGGCACATGGAAAGACCAACCCAGGGAGCTAGATTCGAGGGTGGGGATGTCTCGTGGCGGGCTTCCATTTGGAACTGGTGGGTGGGAAGACGGAGTCTACCCCCAAACCCAGAAGGGTGAGGGCCGTGCTCAGGCTGAGGTCACGCACCTGCTCCAATTGTCCTTGAACAGTTTGTCACACAACGTTGGACAGGAGCCCCGATATTTTGCCTGAAGATAATAACAGGCCGTCAAGCTCCGGGTGCAGAGCTGGGCATGGTCAGCCACGGCGCACGAAGCCCTGACTCATCTCATTATTTCCAGTTAAATAAATTCTCACTCCCAGCCTCCATCCCCAGATCCTGGACTCCCTCAAGCACGTTGCTTTCTTCTTGGTTGCCACTCCCCATTGGCCCCAGTTCTGGCGGCTGCTGCTTTGTTCCTCCCGCGACACTGCCATCCACTTGTGTCATCCGTTGTCCAAGGGTGACCTCTCCTTCTCTTCACCGTGTGTCTGTGCTACGCGCCCGGGGACGGGAGAGCGAACACGGGGCTCAGCCTGCTGGCTTCCTCCCGAAGTTGGTGTGGGAGGTTAATTAGATGACAGGGTGCAGGGAACGACTTCAGGCTTTGAGGCCTGCTATCAATAAAGCTCTGGCACCGACACAGAGATGTCGGCTGCGGGGTCATGGCGTGAGGAAAAGCAGCAGCCAGGAGGGCGCTGTGGAAGTGCGGGCCCAGCCAAGCAGTAAACTCCCTGTCTGTTTGCCTGCGTGCTTGTCGCCCCTTCTGCACACGGGGGGGCTCTGAGGCCAGACTCTCTTACAATTCTCCCAAATCCCACCAGGAATTCATTTGCTTAACAGGCCACTGTACACAGAATGGGAGGCCAATAAATTCTGGGCCCGTGGAAATGGGGTCCAGATCCCAGAAGCACTGCCGTCTCACGAGCAGGTGACCCCACCTCCCACGCATCTGCTCATTGGCTTCTCTTTTCAATAAGCCGTCCAAAGCTCTCCTCCGAGCCAGCTCCTGGGGGAACACAGATAATCAGGCACAATCCCTCCATGAAGAAGCTTCCAGGCCCTGAAGGTGTTTCATTTTGGTTTGGTGTCCATCAAGCCCGGGATGTGCACAGAGGTTAGGGTCCCGAGGAAGGGGGACCCTCAGCGGAGCGAGTTGGCTGCAGTGAGCATACGCTGCTCGGCCCTTAAAGGAAAGCCGAGCCCATCCAGTTCCAGGTATATTCAGGCCTGTCCATCGGTCTGATGCACCCGCGGGAGGTCAGTAGCTCCGAGGCAAGTTGGGCGTCAGAGGCGCGTGAACTTGATTTCTTTGCTTCTGGAGGCCAGCAGTAGGGCTCATTACTGATGGGGCCCCTGATTTATAGGGACTTGCTGAAAAATGGACAATGTTTGTGTTTCTTCCCCCCACTCGCTCTCACTTTTATGAGCACTGTTAAGTTTCATTTCAGCATGTTAAGTAATTTGTGACTCACTGCAATGAAACTGAGCTCAGGCCTCATAAAAACAGAGTAAGATGGTATTTCCATGTTTCGTGCTATGGTCTGAATCAGGCTGCTGTTTGGAGCTCCCTGGAATCCACTCACAAGGCCATTTTGGAGCCTCTCGTCCCCTCCATTCCCTACCAGCTCCTCACTGTGCTCCTCAAAATTTCCCGGAACTCCTTCTGCTACCCCCAAATAGCAAAAGTTCCAGCGGGAGAAATGGAAGGAAAAGCTAGTAAGTAAACTATGGCGATATTTGTGTAAGTGCTGCCTAATGAAAAAGTGGGGATAATTTCTAATTATAATTTATCCATGATAATTAGATGGTATCATGAATAGCTGCAGATCCTCTGCTCATAAACCCGAGATGATTTTTTATTACTCTTCCTACTGTGGTCTTTAACCAATCTTTCCTTCACAACCACCACTGGAGTCCCAGAACATTCTACGTGGGCAATGACTAAAACAAGGATAAATGCCGTATTTCTATTTAATTCCCCATCAGCTTATTTAAGTCTGCTCATTTTTATTACAATAATTCATTAATGATGACTTTACTAATTTGGCTTTTTGTCAGAATTGACGTAACAGTGGGGCTCAAGTTAACCTTTATTGTTTCTCTCTGAACGATGGGTATTGCTGGCAAAACCACTGGTGGTATTTTTAATTTCCTTCAGAGAGTGAGTTGTCTCTCAACGTCTTAATCTCACCAGGTGCTTGCAGGTAGGTGGTGCTTCTGCTAGGGCTGCTGGGCTGCCAGGTGGCATCGCCTGAGCCACACCCCTCTAGGCACCTGAGATACGCAGCCTCCTGACACCCCTCCCCCAGTCCCGGTCACCTCTGTTACTCTCACCCTCCCTCCCTCCTTTCTTTCTGTCGTCTTAAATGACATTTAGCATCATTCTGAGGAGTCAGACACCCAACGTCAGGATGGGTTTGGGGGCGATATCCTGGTGGGTGGAGAGCGGTCCCCAAAAGCCAGGCATATCTATCTCCCTGGGTACCATTTGCGATAGCATCTGCTTAGTTCATTTTCTGTAGGGAACCAGAGCAGAGCTTGTCCAAAAACATATGTTCACACACACCTGCCAGTCTCACCTTAGCATCCCACCCGCTCTTCCTTTTGTCATGACGTCTAAAGCTATTTAAACATTTCTGAACATTTAAACACTACGTGGCTGCTCCTCTTTCAGTCACCTCAACTCCCGGGTGGCCTGCAGGAGGGGTGCCAGGCTGTGGGAGGCAGCACCCCTGGCACCTTCTTAAGAAAACCCACTCCCCCCGGTCTCCCGAGACTCCCGCCCCACGACAAGCCTCTCTGAGGAGAGAGAGCCCCCTCTTCAAAGCCCCACAGGACAGGAAGGACAGGAAGAAAACACGTCACCTGGCACCTGCCATGCACGCAGAGGTCGGTCTCGTAGGGCCCGCAGGGCGTGCCATCCAGGACCCTGTCGGCCACCAGCAGCGGGGACTCCTTCCCCAGGGGCGAGCAGTACAGTTCACACGGCTTATCTGAGGAGGGAAAGGGGCAAACGATGACGTGGGAAGGGGGGGTGTAGGCCATGCAGGGCGCAGTGATTATTTTGCACAGGAACCTGCAGACAGAGAAACACCGAAACCTGTGTGCTGGGACCTTTGTCTCCACCCCAGTCTCCCTAGTGGGTCACTCCAGCGGTGCTTGGTGAGCAAGCCTGAGGCAGGGACGGCTTTCTGGAGCTGACAGGACCTCGGAGGATCTGGACACGGAGCCAGAGAGTTCTCGCTAGAGCAGATAGGCTGTCACCCAGAGTCGGGGCTTCCGTGAATGAGCCACGTTCACTGAGCTGCCACTGTGCTCAGCAGCTTTCCGTGGCTCGTGCCCCAGGGAGCTCTGATCCACACACTCAGTGGGAAGGCTCGTCTCAGACCGCCGGAGAGAAGTGTTCTAAGGTTATAAGGAAGGGTCCCTTGGCCAGAGCAGTTTGAAAACGGGAGATTTTAATAATCTTTACACTGACGTGTTGCCCTAATACTTGGAGCACTGAGCTTTGAGGTGATTCACTGAACAGCAGTAATAATGCTGGTGACGGTGACAAAATCATAAATAACAATTAGTATCAATCATGTGCCAGGCGGCAGGCTAACTGGTGTCTATAGCTTCACCAATCAGTCTTTTCCCCACTACGACTTACATCAGGTCTCAGTTGATTGGACCAGCAGCGGCCACTTGACCATAGCTGGACCAATCAAAGTCTCTTTTCCCACCATGACTTCATAGTCAGGTCTCAGCTGATTGGACCAGCAGTGGCCACTTGACCATAGCTGGACCAATCAAAGTCTCTTTTCCCACCATGACTTCATAGTCAGGTCTCAGCTGATTGGACCAGCAGTGGCCACTTGACCATAGCTGGACCAATCAAAGTCTCTTTTCCCACCATGACTTCATAGTCAGGTCTCAGCTGATTGGACCAGCAGTGGCCACTTGACCATAGCTGGACCAATCAAAGTCTCTTTTCCCACCATGACTTCATAGTCAGGTCTCAGCTGATTGGACCAGCAGTGGCCACTTGACCATAGCTGGACCAATCAAAGTCTCTTTTCCCACCATGACTTCATAGTCAGGTCTCAGCTGATTGGACCAGCAGTGGCCACTTGACCATAGCTGGACCAATCAAAGTCTCTTTTCCCACCATGACTTCATAGTCAGGTCTCAGCTGATTGGACCAGCAGTGGCCACCTGACCATAGCTGGACCAATCAAAGTCTCTTTTCCCACCATGACTTCATAGTCAGGTCTCAGCTGATTGGACCAGCAGTGGCCACTTGACCATAGCTGGACCAATCAAAGTCTCTTTTCCCACCATGACTTCATAGTCAGGTCTCAGCTGATTGGACCAGCAGTGGCCACTTGACCATAGCTGGACCAATCAAAGTCTCTTTTCCCACCATGACTTCATAGTCAGGTCTCAGCTGATTGGACCAGCAGTGGCCACTTGACCATAGCTGGACCAATCAAAGTCTCTTTTCCCACCATGACTTCATAGTCAGGTCTCAGCTGATTGGACCAGCAGTGGCCACTTGACCATAGCTGGACCAATCAAAGTCTCTTTTCCCACCGTGACTTCATAGCCAGGTCTCAGTTGGTTGGACCAACACTGGCCACCTGACCATATTTGGACCAGGGTCTCTGTCCTGGGAAATCAGCCTTGTAATTCTGATAGAGGTGGTCTCTATTCATGGTTGGTGGGTCCCAAGAAGTCTAGACAACCTTACCCACAGTTCAGGAACCACAAAAGCTCTAAAAATGGCATTTTCTTAACATCTGTGACAAACACATTTGCCAGCAGAGCAGCCTTGGCTGGCATGAGGCTGTTGGTACTGTTCAGAATCCCACTTGGAGGCTGCTGTTCATGGGTTACCTAGTAGAGGTGTCCATGTGTCTGACTGTGGGGGGCTTCCCTGGACCTCGCTGAGGGTATTAAGTAACATACAGTTGCCGTAGTGTTGCTACCTGTCTAACACATAAAATCCTCTGAATTCTGAACCACACCTGGACCCAGAGGATCTGGATAAGGGGTGAGAACTGACATGAAAGGCGCTGTGGCCTTCATGAGCCTGCGTGGAGACGAGCTGTGAGAAAGCCATTCTGCGGCTAGGGCAGGAAGAAATGACTCACACACGGGAGCTGTGGTGGACGTGGGGAGCACTCCCGACCTCTTCAGAGGCCCTGGCCTCAGACCCTCGTCCTGGCCCCGGGACCAGTGAGACGCCCGGAATCTCTGCAACAATTTCCCTCTTCTTTGCTAAGCGCCTCCAGCCGGCCTGGCCGAGTTGGAGCGAGGGAGCCCTCACCATGATACCCTGCCCATCCCCTGGGAGGCTCAGACCCAGAGGGGTTCAGCCGTGCTGGGGAGACGGAGCTGGGAATGTACTTCCACGTCCAGACACGGCCTCTGCCAAGCCCTCCGACACTTCAGTGGGCACGTGGCCTGCTGGCCTCGCCAGGGAGGCCTGAACTCTTGAAGGTTTCCACTTAAATGAGATTCCACGGGGAAAGCAGCAATGGGGTGGGTTTGGCAACGGGCCACCTCCATGGGTTCTGTCTGTAGGCTTTTCCACGGAGAAATGGTTTCTAAGGAGAGTCTTTGTCTTCTGTTGGAGGTGGTACGGATTTGTGGTCCTGAGTCCTCCCTTGGAAAATCTACCTCTGCAAGAATTTCCTTCTTTTTTTTTTTTTT